TTTCCATCGGAGCTCAACTGGAGCTAGCAAAGTCAGAAAAATGGCAATGTTTTACCAAAGGGAGGACTTAACCCGTAGCTCTACCCTCCTCCTCGAAAGCCCACAGAAGGGAGGGAGAAAGTTGCATAGAAAACTCCAGGAGGCAAACACAGACTTTTCCTCTGAGCGTGCCTCTCCAAGAAGGGTCTGAGGTTTCTCAGAAAATGCAAGTAGCAAATCCTCCAAGCCCTGTGCTTTCTCAGCCTTGTGCCCTCGCCGTCGGCACCTCATGGCTACGTGTACCCAGAGTACCTCACAGAGAGGTGTTTGCCTGGGGAGAACTGTGATTCCCGCTGGAGTCCCACCAGCCAAGGGGGCAGGACAGAGGGAGCGAACATGCTGGATCACCACATGAAATGTCTGCTCTGCTTGTGTGCAGTCTCTTTGGCCGACAGCCTTTTGGCTAGCTCCACCTGCCGAGGACCTTCTTTTTTTTTCTTTTTTTTTTTTTTTTTTTTTTTTTTTTTAAATCCCAGCTGAACCGACAGGGAGGAGGCTGCGGCTCCTTTCTGTCCCCGCAGCCTTCCTGTTTGGCTGACTCTCTGCCCTGGACACACAGATGTACACTGAAATACGAATTCTGCAAGGCACACGTTATGCTTGCGGAGGGAGCGTGGGGTGGGAAGGCGCTGTGATCCGTAGGTGGGCTGCTGTGGTTGGGCTACGAGTAGCTGCTATCCTGTGCAAGAATGAAATAACAGTAACAATATACTGCGTTCAGCCCCGGTTGTTTAGAAAGAAGATTTCAGTACATTTTAACAATTAAATCTGTGTCCAGGCAGCTACTTCATTTTAAAGCGTACCACCCCTGCACCTCACTGTCTGCAAGCTCATTTCTGCTTCACTTACGTCACCCCGCACTAACCCGGTGGCTGTTGATTCAGTCCTGTGGCAGCTGTTTGTAGAGGTTTGCCCTGCTCCCTGCCAGCAGCCTGCCACCCTCATCCGAATTGCCTCTGGATTCCAGATGGGGTTCAAAATATTAGAGTGAGTGCTATCCTGGGCAAAATGGCAGGATTTCTGAGAGTAGTAGCTAAGGTGTGACAGGTAACACCCTCCAAAATCCCATCCCCATGCCAATCAAATAAGGTGAAGCAGAAGCACACCTGCAGCCTAAAGGAGGCGTGTTATAGCTTTAACATGTGTTAGTCAGTCAAGGTGAACCCTAGCACGAGCCCATAAACGTTTGAGTCCCAGAACAAATGTTTGGGGTTGTACAAACATGTTAACTACCCATAGTTAATTGGCAAGTAATTACCTTGAAGTAAAAATAGCTTTCCCATAGCTGAGGAGTCACAGAGTGCCTGTCCCCCCATGAACACTTACAGATCACTAAAATTTTCGGCAGAGAAGAGCCTTGTCCAATTTGCCTTCTGGATCCTGGCAAGTTTGCGACTGAGAGTTGTTTGTCCCCAGCACCAAATGCTGTTTGTTTGTGGTGTAGACTCAGCAAATAGGGCTGTGCGCCAGAGCTAATTTTCGTGCCGCCCTTTACTAAACTTCTGCAGTTCATAATGCAATGAAATAATAAGATAATATTGGCCAGCAAAAGCGTGCAGTTCAGCAAGGGTACCACATGCCCTATAATGGAACTATTAGTGAAAGCTACGTATGTATTAAAGGCAGATTGGCAGGCTAGAATGTGTTTCCTACTGACTGAATCCTACTTTCTTACTGAATTTTGGATCTTTCTGATACTTTGCATGACAAAGATTTGCAGTTGGACTGGATTTCATTAGATGTGTATGCAGCTGAGAAGCAGGAAGCAAAGTCCTGCCCGCACCCAACACGGCACTTGGGATTACCAAGTGCGAGAACTGTGATTGCTCTTTGACCTGCTGCTGGGAGAAGCCATAGAAGACAGTAGGTTCTTCTCATGAGGTCTCCAATCCATACAGACCATCAGCTTCTCTTAGAACTTGGATCAAATCCTTGCTTGGCTCTCCTCAACATTTTGGCAAAAAAACGCACGGATCTTCTTGGTTTGTAACTAAACCGCAAGATTTCCTGGTTTGCTGGGAAGGCAAAACTGGGCATACGGAAGCAGGTGGAGCCTGTCATTGAGCTCCTGTGATGCTGGGGCTCACGGTGGCAGAGATGAGCTGGGCTGTAGTTCGAAGTGGTTTCAGCTAAAGAGCTACCATCGGCACTGCAGCATCGTGTGGCAGTGATATGCTGTGTGCTCTGCCCCTGGCTTCCCCTGCTCGTAGTCGTCCCTCTTCTGAGGAAGTGTAATATTGTGCTGAGGAGGAGGGAAGCAGATGATGCTGGGACCCTTGAGAGGCAAGCCTGCTGAGCCAGAATGTTGGAATTTATGTGGTGTTCCTCTGGATGCTGCAGCGTGATGGAGAGTCAGTCCACAAAAATCTTTCCATGGCAGTCAGTGGTCTCTGCCTTGTGTCCTGGAGGAGCGAGGGGGTGGCAGATAGACAACGCTGCTGGCAAAGCGCATTTCAGAATCCAGGCAGCAGTACTCGGCAGACACAAGAACCACAGGGATGCTGTCTCAAATTGCTCTCCCTGTGCAGCCTGGCTTTAGAAAATTCGGCACTATGGTCAGCCTTGCCACTCAGCTGGCTCCTCTGGGCACGTGGACTTGCATTTGGTATCTTCAGGTGTTCAAGAAAGAGGAGCTGTAATAGGTGCAGATACCAGAGCTTTCCAGGAAATGTTCAGATACAAGTGCAGCTCTGTTCACTTTGAATTCACTTTCTGTGCCTGTAGTGGCAGACAAATTTGCTGGCAAACATTTTGCAAAAAAAAAAAAAAAAAAGGCATTGATCCAGAAAAGCACTGTGCACAAACTAAGCTTAGTGTAAATGAGTACACCTGTGCTTAATGCTAGGCACGTGATGAATGCTCTGCTACGTCCTAGCCAAAATAAATTTAAAATAAATATCAGAGCATACTCCTGGAAAATGAATGCTGGTCTTGTAAGCAGAAATGCGTGCAGCAGAAATAGGAGTCTACTGCTCCGTTTGTCCGCTGGGGATATCCAGCAGGGAGAGTCACGTGCGCTCCTTTTGAGCTCCCCAGCAGAGCTGGTGAAAACAGGTTTTGATTTGAATGAGTTATGACCCATTGAAAACGGCATCATGCGTAACCACAGTAAATTGTCGTAATGAGATCACGAGGCTCAAAAAAGTGGGCAGCGAGGAAAGAGGCCTCATTCCACTGGCGTACACGGATGACTGAGCCCTGGGCTGCAAAATGCAGTGGCGAGGCACCGTCTCATGCCCTGAACTTCTTGTCTGTTTAGTGGCAGGACCAAGAGGTTTCACAGCCGAACAAAAACTCATTAAAAGTTTTGAGTTAAAAAGAAGAAAACAAGCCAGAATTCTTATGGCTTTGCATTTGTTCTTAACCAGGGTAACAGAGGGGACTGGGCTAAAGCAAATAATGGAAAAACATGAATACTGTAAGTGCTTCCATGCTTTCCGAAGGTGAGCTTGGTTGTTTCTAACCGATGTTGTGGTAGGAGGGGAGGGTTTGGTGATCAGGGCAGAACACTACCTAAGTTGAAAGCAACTCTCTCTGGAAGCGTGACAAAGCTGTATTGACTTGGTGCATCCCTGGGCTCACAGCTCTGCCCCTGTGAACCCGGCTCACATACAGATGCCCTAGGCTGCCCAGTTGTAAATACTGCAGAATCATCACTGGCTTTTTTGTTTTTGTGGTGAGGCAGAGTCTGAGACTGCAGTAAGAAGTATGGAATACCAAGCCTAGACAACATAAGTAACACAGCTCTTGCTGCCAGGAGTCTTGTAAGTGGTCTTCTGGAAAAAATCCCTTTTCTTTCCTCCTTTTCTTTCCTTCTTTTCTTTTTGATATGGTGCTATTTGTTTAGGGCCATTCACAGCGTAGGAGACTGAAAGAAGCATTCTTCAACTCACTCTGTTTCTCTTCTGAAGTTATCGAGCGCACGTGTCCATAGGGGCCTGTTGCAGAAGACCATGCATATGATCTAACCACATCCTCCCACTCCCTCGAAGATGGAGGGCAGAGGTGTATTGATGTAAGGCATCGCTGGCTACAGGACCCGTTTCATTTCTCTCATGCCTTAAGGCAAACCGGTTTGCTTGCCACATGGTTGCCACTCCTCCTGAGTTTGCACCCTTCAGTATTCTCCGTCTGTTAACACTTTGCGCACAAATATCTGTGTCCCCGAGCCATGAAAACAATTCAGGCTCATGCTGATAAGCAGCACCTTCCTGACTCATATCTATTTACGGTATTTTTATTATTCATAGCCTGAGCCCATGAATAGAGAAACACCCAGTTCAGTGCAGTTCCCTGTAGTGCCTGGTCCTCAGCAGGTTAGCCCTTGGCCATGGGTTGTGCTTGCACGGAACGCTAAGGTAGGCAATCTGGATAGCACGCTGAAGCCTAAGCTGTTCCCAGGATCCCGAGTCTTCTGTTGTGGGCAGCAGAATCCAAGGTTCCCCTGCTCTTGCAGTAGGCACACTCCAGGCCGGTCTGGAGAGGACTCTGGCTTGCCTTGTTTTCCTGATGTTGGCTGGCTGACATTGCTGCAAGGACAGCCGAAATAGATGGAGGCCAGCCAAGCTGAAGAGACAGAGGGGAAATGTGTTCCTGCATACACTTAAGAGCAAAGCACATGGACTTTCCTGGTGCTACTCTGCCAGAGAATTCTCCTCAGAGCTGGCCCAGTGGGCTTCTCCACATGTCAGAACTATGGATGAATCTGCTAACGCTGCCCAAGCTGCAATATAGGTGCAGCTGCAGGGAACCAAGATTTTCCAGTTCATGCCTTCTTTGTAGGTAAGGAGAACCAAAAATAAAAATGCTCATGTAAAATGCTTTTGGAATTCACTAGTTCTTAAGCTCACTTGCTGTGTGTGATCCATTGAGTAGAAGTCCTGCTTTTTTGTTCTCTAGTCTCAGCTGAGTAGCACTGCTACACCCTACTAACATTACAAATTTTCCTGATACCCATGTAGGAGAAGAATTTGGACTGGTTCCCTCGGATGAGAGCCATGTCCCTGGTTAGCAATGAAGGCGACAGTGAGCAAAACGAAATCAGGAACCTGCAAGAGCGACTGGAGTCAACGATGAGCCTTGTAAAACAGCTTTCCAGTCAGCTAGCTGAGCTCAAGGAACAGGTAAGAGCCCTGCAGTGGGCAGCAACGTGAGCATGTGTGGGTGAGCGCGCTGGCTTTCATCAGGTCACAAGTCAGGAGAGGTTTTATCTTTCCCTCTGGTAAGCTTTCTGAGTAGATACACTGATACGGGTCCAGAATGAAATTGTGCTCTCTTAGCATCAGCAGAGAACAGGTAAGGAGAAAAGCCAAGGGGGAATTAGTTATGAAACCTCTCAGTGAGTGTGTGAGGACAGAAGGGCAGAAGCGATGACAGGCTTTCCGCATGCAGATACTGCATTATCATCATCATGGCTAGGCTTTGCGAACAAAGATATGGGAAGGGCTCTCCCCACACTTGCTACAAGTGCTCTGATGGCTAAAAAGGCCGATGCGGGATAGGCAAGTCCGGTTGCATAACTCAGCAATAAAAAAGGCATAGCATCAGAAACAGCTATGTGCTGATGGGGATTGGTAGAAAAGCTTTCCAAATCCCACACTTGCATTTTTTCCCCTGCTAAGGGTATCAGCAGGGCTGTTGTGAAAACAATCTGCAGAGCCTGTTGCTTTGCTTGTGTCACCCTTGTCTTTGTGCCCCTCCTGTGGCTCGCCCTGCTCTCCTGTGTGGAGCACAAGCTGCTGGCCTCCCTTAAGACCCTGCTCTCGCCTAATCCACCTTACGTCTTTTCTGTCACTTCAGGATCAAAAGGCCGTCTCTTTTATTGCTAAAGATGCTGCTCACCTCTGGTTTGCTCCTTACAGTTTCAGAAAAGCATCTTTGTGTTTTCTTTAAGGGAAGCACTTCAGTGGCATCAACAGACTTATCTAATTATCCCCCTGCAAATCCCTCCTCGAAACTCAGTTTCCTTGTGGAAAACTCAACAAAGGTTTAGGCTGCGTGTGCTGAGACCCTCACTTATTGTGCTTGCCTATCCTGGTGCAGTTTTTTCATCCCCCTTTGGCTGAATGTGTTCTCTCCTGGCTTAAATTTAAAATCCCTGTGGCTGGGACCATCTTTTAATTCTGTGATTGTACAGCAGCATGTGCAAATGCTGACCCTTCGCAGGGCTATACAACCCCATGGCAGCTCAAATAATACACTGTAAGACCTGCTGCTGGATAAGAATAATGTACGATGAGAATAAAATGTCCACACATTGCAGGAAACAGATCTCTCACTTCAAAGGCGTCTCTTACTTGTAATTTTCAATGCTGAAGAAAAGAATTCAACTCCCTGTTGTTTTGCTTATATGTATCTTGCTCTGTGACTGCTAAATAGTAGTAAAGAGAGGGAGAAAAAAAAGTATAAAAATCTCAACTCATCTCTCTCTGCCTTTCCACCTTAGATGACAGAACAAAGGAAGAATAAGCAGAGGCTGGGCTTTCTTGGATCAAACACACCCCATGTGAATCATCACATGCCACCACCCTGATACCACGGGGAGATGCCGTGACTAGCCTTTCATCAGTATTCCTGCTTTATTATAGAATAAAAAACTGAGACTGAGAGGAGTGAACAGTGCCTATTGTTACGAAGTTAAAAACAACCAAGTGCCAAGATGTTAAGTGGTTTAGCTCTGGGAACAATTTGTAGCTGTTTTTCGTGGTTGAAAGGCACCACAACCTAGAATGTGCGAGCGAGACAAGGGAGCTCATTTGCATTCGTTTACAGGGCCAGACTTGGCTGCGTTTGCGCTCCTGCAACACGATGGCTTTGGTGGCAGCTGCCGTGTGTGAGGGGCAGGCGTTTGGCTGCATCCTTAGATCTACCTTCAGGCATCTCTTGAAAGCGCCGGGATCGCTAAGATGAGCAGAAGAAGGAGAAATGTTTATTGACGCAAACACGACAGCCTGGTTCAAAATCAATAGAAGTTGTTTCTGGCTTATTTGCCAAATAGCAACATTAGTCATATTTGCTTGGCATTTACTATTTTTTAATTACCGTAAATAAGTCAGTTGGGTAAGCAGTAATGTTGCTTCAAGTAACTTCTACTAGGAGGCAAAGGGGAGAAACCTCAGAAGACTGAAGAAAAAAGAAGAAGGAAAAAATTAGAAAAAGAGTTGCAAAGAGAAACATTAACGCTTTTGAATTTTAGCTGTCACCATGCAATTTCTTATTTATAATATGAAGCAAACGGATCTATAGCTATCGGAATGTTATGCACATAACACTGACAACATAACTGGAAGTGATTTCTTTCTCCTGACTTCAGATGTTCTCAATTAATGTGGCCGTGAGATTTCACATTCTGAAGAGTTAAACTGTGTTTTAAATTCAGTGGAGGATTCAGGGAAAAAAGCACTGTAGTTTGAAGCGTGCATGGGATTTTTTATGTTTTTTTTTAAAAAGCTTAGAAATGTCTTTCTGTGTGGAGCTGTAATGGTCATTACCTTCCATAAGCTCATCTTCAGCAAGAGTTGAGTAAATAAGCTCCATATCCTGCCAGCTTTCTTCTGAGCTAACGATCCTGGGCTTTGCCCACCCGTCCCGCTTTCAGGGGCTCGCAAGGCGGGTGGGGCACGGGGAGAATGCTAGAGCAGCTCCTTCCAGCTCTAGGCTCTACAAAAGGCAGCAGCCGAGTCAGCTGTGAAGGTTTCTGCTCTATCCTAGATTTCTTGGGATTGCTTTAAAAGAAAAATTTCCACAGAGCCCAAAAGGGCTCTTTTTTTTCTTTTAGGAGAAATTTTAGGGGGCACAAATGGGAGTTGTGGTCTCAGTTCACTTATGTTTTCTGTGGGTTTTGGTTACCTGATTTGTAAAAGCGCCTCCATTACATGGAGTCATTTCTTAAGCCAAAAATATTTTTCCCCTGTAACATATCTGTTTTGTTATAAAAGCCATTTTGATCAAAGGTGAAAATATTATTGCTTCCACTATTTCTAGTTTCTCCCTGAAGAAATGCTGTTGTCTTATTAAAAGCACAATTCACACCAACAGACCTAGAGTAAAGAGAAGGAAGAGGCATTTCCCTTTCTTCCCTCTCTTCCCTCTCTTCCCTCTCTTCATCCCGAATTCAAGCCTGTTCCTGGAAGCCATCTCTTCTTTCTTTTCTTTTTTTTTTGTGTCAGTGAGGTATCTGAGATAAAAGTAATATACTTTAGGGTCTGATTCCTCTACCATTAAAACATTTCCCATAAACTTCAATTGTGTCTTTCAAAAATACTGTGTGGAAAGCAGGGGTCTGTGTATTTTATGGAAAGAAATCCTCATTCTGTTGACATTTTTTTAGTCAATAGAACATCCCAGTAGTGAGAGGTGTTGGCCATTTCCAACTCAAGGGTCTATTTTTCCGACAGGAAAGTCTCCCAAATCCAGTCAGCGCTCTGCCTCCATGTCCTAAGGTAAAGACCAAGTGGTGGCTATCAGAAATGGCCCAAAGCCAATGAAAGGGAGTGGCGAGAGACTAAAATTTCTACAGCTCCTTTGCTTGTGGGCTCTCAGCCTCTCTGCTTCCAGGCATCAGCTGCTTCCCAGGCAAAGGGAGCACACGGAGGCAACAGGAGAAGGGTTGAGCTGGTCGATGCTGTGCATTTGCTTCTGAGGCTGGAGTAACCTGTTCCAAATAACTGGTCTTTGGATAGCAGAGCAGATGCATCTGTGGCACAGGGAGCTGATGGTAGGTAAGCTGCTAAGTCAAAGCAGAATACAGAAAAGCGGTTGCCTTCAATGGATGGCTGAGATATTCTAGAAATGAAGCTTGGAGGGTGCCTTTCCTTCACGCTTACTGCGCATGAGGTCTCAATGCTACTGCTTCAGCATCTCTGTGTCAGTGAAAATCCCTTCTGTCAGCCTCATCTGTCTGTAAAGACAGGGCTTCATGTACCAATTAGTGTGCAGCACCAACAGACTTACAGTGAATTAATTCTGGGAATTTGCATCAGCTGCACACAGTAACTAGCCACCAGCATAAGATTTGCCCCTCTGACTAGACCTTTGTACATCACAAAGCCAAAGAAGTTGCACAAAAACATGAAGTCAGTGGTAAGTTGGTATGGAATCAGACCCTGCAACTGTATTAACTCAAATTAGTTGATGCCATTCGTCAGATCTAGTCATGGCTTCTGTCTCAACAACAATTTCCTCTTCCTCACACATGTGGTTATTAGAGGCATAAAGCATATTTTAATGATAAGAGAAATTAAACGATCGCTGTTGATTGGGGGGTGGGTGGTTGGCTAATACTGGAAGTGGTTGGCACTTTTCTGGTTTACACTCGGAAGAAGCAACTGAACAGCTGCACGTCAAGGGAGGTTTCTGCTGTTGGAGCTGGAAAAACTTGAGACTCGATGCGTTTGTGTCCTGAGCGCAGGCCTGCAGTCATGCCCCGCTGGTGCTCTCTCTGTCTTGCACCCCAAACAACGTGAAGAGCCCAAATACTGCTCTTAGAAGGGAGAGCTACAACATCCAAACTGAAGAGCTAAGAGATGTCGATTATCCTTTGCCATGGTGCCTTTCTGCTGTTGATAGCTTCCAAGAGACCTCCATAATCAATAACAGTAGGTGATGCTACTTGCACAGACTGTAAATATATTTCACTGAGCATTTTGACTTATTTACTGATTCTTTCAAAACTTAGGCCCTGCCCTGCTCTCATCCGTGTGAATAACAGTTGCAGGGGCAGAGCCCAAGCCTTAAAGATTGTGAAATATCCCCATCAATGAGTTTATAACAAAAATCATGGGTTTATACATATATTTATGTGTATATCTTTGTTTAATGCAGCTGGGGTATCCTCTTCTTTGGCAAGCATCATTCACCTATTTAAATTAAATGATAACAAAGAAGTTAAAACATATTTTAGTGCCTTAGAGGGATATATAATTACAAGCTCCTTGACAGTTAAAATCTACTTAAGTAAACCTGTCCATTGCTGCTGAATGTAACTTTTAATAAAGTGCGTCATTTTATATACATCTGTCTCACTTGTTCTCGGTGCTGAGGTGCAGGGAAATGTGTGTCACTGAAATAAATACTGCTGGGAAACCCAGGTTGGTCTTGCACGGGCTGTGGGTACACAAGCTTGTTAGCGACAAAGCAGATGGCATCCGTACAGTCCTAACTTTAAGACTTTAATTTTGGAAGCGCAGCCCTCAGATGATGCAAATGCAGAGGGTAAATGCTTGATGTGACTTCTCTCACTAGGGTGAGGACTTTTGCGTGTGTGAGGGTTTTGATGCTTTTTTTTTTTTTCTTCATCTTTTCAGTGCAGCTCCTTCAAGTAGCACATTGAGAGAGAGACCGGGGGTTTTTCCCTCTCTTCTAGGTGAAAGGATTGAGGAAGGCAAACTGCCCAAAAACCACTGTCTCTCAACTGAGGCAGCCTGGGCTGAGGAAATGTGCCTTACAAACCTGTGACAGGAGAACTGCAACATACAAGTGCTTTTTTTTTTTTTCTTCCAGCTGTGTTTATTACAGAAAGTCAATATTTATGAGGAGAAGAATGAGGCTTCTTCTTCACAAGAAAAAGCCTGCTTATTAATTAATAAGAAAAATCCTATTAAATAAAGCATGCTGTTGCTTCCGTGCACTTGTTATACCAACCTGCTGAGGCTTTGGGTAGAATTAACTTTCTTTTCTATTCTGTGGTGTGACTTTCAGGTTAAATAGAAAGGAACTTGTTTACTACTAGGTTTATTAGATCATTCTGCAAAAAGGATGTCCTAAGAGAAAATGTGGTTTCATACAGTAAACTTTCAATGTAAAATTACAGTCATGTTTTAAAACAAAAAGCCCCCAAACTAGAATTAAGCTCCTAAGCTCGAATGGGAACAGCTTTGCATGCAGA